CACTTCAAAAAACAACTATAGGTCTAATAATGAATTATTGTGATGTTAAATAGACAATGTTAGCTATCAAGGAGCGACGTTGTTTTTCATTGGGACCTTCGTCCCTTCAAGGCTAGGCCTATACCATCCTAGCTAGTCTAGGCCTAGAGTAGGATAAGGCTAGCGCGACATGTACGTGTTGGTTAGTCTACAAACGTCGCCTAAAGTAATTGATTTTACACGGCAGAATGAAGGAAGGAAACTCCGCTTTTCAGTCGTTTTAGGCCCTTGTTTTTTTGACAAACAATGACTTTTCAGAGGTCAAATTGCTGTCAAGAATATGAATTGGCTGCTTCGCAGCAATTATAAGCCTGATTTGTTATGGCCATGTTATTAACACAGCCTACAGTACCAGCTCATTTTCTACTTCTATATCATCTTGACTCACTAATACAAAGAAGTCATTAATTAATCATAAGTAACATTATCATATCAATGGTTTGGGATTACTTTGTGAATAATTTACAGTGAATTATGCTGGGTCTGTCCTAATTATCCATGGTATGTATATGCGTAGAACACGATGCATACAGTACATATTTTATTCATTGTTTTATAACTGTCATTATTATAATAAGATAAATTAATTCTGGATGGAGAATTAAGGATGATTATTTTTTTAAGATGGTTGGGTATTCACACAGAATCTTCATATGAGAGCAAATTTTCCAAAGACTATTATTAGGTGTAGTATACAATAAGTGTCTTAATTTTTCTTCATGAGCGGCAAAATATACATTAGAAATTTATATAGGACTTGAAGAGGTTGAACACTGTTTGGCTTCGAGGAAAACCATTTTGTTATAACAAGGAAGTGTTAGATTTAAAGTCTGTGAAAAAAAGTGAAATTCTGTGTAAAGTTCATTTCTAAATATTGTTTGTTGGGTATTTAACCAGAAAATAATTTCAGGTACTATAATATTACGAATAAATCTGAATCTGACCTCTAAAATACAAACATTAAAGTACTTTTATATTTTTAACTCTATGCAGAGAGATGGGTATTGAGCCACAAGACATATTGTACAGTAGCACAGACTAGGATCTGTGATTACAGTATGTTTTTATACTGATTGCAGTGGCACCAAGAGGCCGGGGCAGACAGGGCAAGTGCCACACTGCTAGGAAAAATAAAAATTTAAATGTGTTTTTTTTTTAATTAAATGTATACATTCATCAAGTATCATCATAGAGCAATTTCTTACGTTTCTATACTTTATTGTTTATGACCTGGTGAAATTAAGCACTCCGCCCCTGTTGCTCATGGCTGCTCTCCGTAGCTCTATGTATTTTAATGTAACCATGTTATTATCTCCTTCTGTGCTTAATTGCTAACTGAGAAGTAACGTGTCAACCAAAGAGACAGCAAAAACATTAAATCTGGGATTCTTGATACTCTACCTGAACCATTGAAAGAACATGACAGGGATTAAGCAGATATATTACAGTCTTTGTAGCTAATTTATATCCAATCTCTATTCCAAGGGTCAGGCACAGTAAAACTAGGAGTAACCTTTTCCCGAGTCGATAATTGCGTTCCTCCGGAATATGCGCTGGCACCTTCAAGTGCTTCCATGCAATCGCCATCTCAAGTATTGATATCAGACAAATCACAACAGTTTCTACCGTTCTCTGTTTGGTGCTGAGAAAATTGACGCATTCCGGGCCACCATTGCCAGCGAATTTGGGATCAACACCGGAATAGGCCCAATCAAACATACTCCTCCAACCGTACGTAAGCATCATTTATGGTTTTAAAGCCTTAACATTTCAAAAATATTTTCTGTGAAGGCAACAAAAATATTAGTGAATACGTAAAAAAATAGCTGGTCAAAAGAGCACAACAGATGAAAAAAAAAACCAAAAAAACAAATCAGATGTCTTTTAAAAAATAAAAGGCTATACTGTTGTACATATGGTACGGTACAGTGCCACCACCATGAGCTCACATCATATCTTTCAAGCAGTATCATATGGGTCCAAAGTTCACAACTGCATCACACATACATAATTTATTTACTTTATACAGGTACATTTGCAAATTTTAAAAGCAGTCTGTTTAAAATTTAATTTAACAATAAGAATAAGAATATACTTTTTCTAAGTTTATTTAAAATCAAGTCATTATGAGAAACTTAAAAATACCAGTACAATGACAATGGGCAACAAAAGATAAAATTGTGTTCACCTATAAAGTTTTAGGACCTTCTCCATTTCAATTACAATACAACCTGACCATCAAATATAGTACTGTTTGGATCATATAATATTGAATTAAAAAAATAATAACTGCATAGTAATGAGTAACTGAGTACTAGCCTAGCCTGCAGATACAGTGGAATAGAGTGTGTGCCAAAACTAATACAAAACAGCATTAACAAAAGAATACATTTATCTTGGTATTGATCAGTATCAGATTGGAATAAACTGGTGAATATGAAGCTACAGTTACCACACTGATCAAGGAAGTAATCATTATTTATTTTGCATTGATAGCGATAGGCAAAAAAAAAATACATACATTGATCAATTCTGACTGTTTGGAATTACAACATACACTAGGATATCATTACATATGCACTTTATTGATGAATAAAGTCTTAAAAATAAAATTGTATTTTATTGGATTCCTTGATTTCACTACTGCTTCATTTGTTATATTTGCTGGTCTTGTTGAGTTTACCTCGTGACTGTCTTTGCCATGGGTTGTGTATGTATGTGTATAATGTGGGGGTGTTCGTGTATAATGTGGGGGTGTTCGCGCTTCGCTACTGCAAAGAAAAGCGTTACAAGTATATTACAAGTGAAATTACCATGACCATAAAGTCTATGACATCACATCTGGTTGTAAAAATAAACAAACTACAGTAGAATTTACTGTAGACCACCAATTTTTGATGCTTAAACACTTTTGTTAATGCTCTACTTTAGTGACCAAAATTATTATCTTACAACATACACTTATTCTTACTTTACAAATAAATAGGCTTATCATGTCAAGACTTCTCAATTACTACGGAACTTTCATAGTTTTAGTCCTAGTTTCTACGGAAATTTTGCCTAATTACGGACGTACAGAAATAGACAAAAGTACTACAGAAATTCATCATACAAAATTACTTTTCCATTAGGATTTGGTTACTTGTCTCTAGACAACTCATACTTGTCAGATTACAAATAAATTATTGTGAAAAATAAGAAAAAGTGGTGCGTGAATCTTTATACAGTACCACTGTTTGAAATTCCACATCAAATACACTCGGGGCCCAAAGACCATCGGGCCCAGGATGAACGGGCCTATCTTCAGAATGATTGGTTGAATTTGAAAGTGGGCCCGTTATGAAAATTGACTCATAAATCTTCATCCTGTCCAGTTTGTTGGAAATTCCACACCTGTACTGCAATTTCAAGCAACGCATCTTGCACTCAAGGCAAATTACTAGGTGCTATGGAAATTTTTCATTTTATAGTACTACGGAAATCTGAAGACTACGGCAATGTATTGTACGAACTTGAAAAGTGTGCATATCAGAGTTACCTGTGAGAACTTTACGTTTGATAAACTTTGAATTACGCTTCAAGTAAGCCTGGTCTAGGCCTAGGATTCCCTACATACCTCCAATCCCAACGACGGGGCCACCACCGCTGCTGATCGTTATTATTCCAGGGCCAGGCTAGATATTCCTAGTAATTCTTCTAGTAGTAGAGTAGTAGTAGTAGGCCTAGGCCTAGTTGAAGACCGTAATATATAACATAGCCTAGGATAGGGCCTAGCTAGGTCCTAGATAGAGTGTCGTTCAAACGAATCAGAGGGCTAGCGGCATCCTGTGCTTATCATTGAAAAAGCTACTAGGCCTACTAGCACACAAAAGCCTATCCTAGGCCTCTAGGCTCTATTCCTAGCCGCCTACCTAGCCTAGGCCCTATTTGTATTTGACTTCCTAAAAAAAACAATACATACAATCTCTTATTTATTAAATATATCAAAAGTTATATTTTGAATTCGCCATCCGCTACTCTATGGCTTAATCACATAAAACATTCTAATTATGTACTAGGCCCTAGTCCTACCAATTCAATGCCAAATTCATTTAATTGCCGTCTGCAACGTATCTTCAAACTGTTCATCCAGGCCTTTCTAGCCCAGGCTTTGTACGGAACACAACAACGCGAGCGACCTTTAAAACAAAATCTCCTGGTGTCATCGGTATTTTTTTCCTTCAGGGTCGGGGGCCTAGCTGCTATACTAGCGCTGGCTCAGCACCGATAGGGGGCGTTGTCACCATTTTTGTCTAGCTCAGTAAAAAATAACTGTAGAGTTCGACTGAGATCCCTTCTTGGAACGAATTCGAGTCAACTAGGCCTCAGTCACCCGTTATTTTTAAATGTTTCTCATTTCAAGCACGTCGCTTAAATTATTCAGTATTTATGTTTCTTATTTAAGGCATTGGCCCGGCAATGTAATACATGTAATCAGAGAATAATTTTTATCAAATGTAGCCTATTCCATGTATTTAATACCATTTTCAACAGATAACTATTTAATCGTACTAAGAATCTTAACTCCTATTCATCCTGTTTATATATTTATATAATTTATCATTTTATATAATTTTATCTTCTCTTGTATATATGTATGCCCTATATTGTTTAGGCTATGCCATATAGCCTACCTAGGAACTTGTAACCGGTTGTAACATTCCAACTCGTTGCAAATTACTTGCTAATGCAATAATATACGCATGAAATAAATCTGGATAAAATCACAACAGATTTCGAAGAGACCATTTAGGGTTTATTAAAAAAATATCTCGAAACCAAACATGTTTCAGCAGTGCAACTGCCATCTTCAGAGTGTAATAATATGCTTACACGCACAAGATAACGGAGTGAACAGAAGCGTATGAAAAATGCATGAATAAAGGTGAGAAAGTGAATCAGGCCGAAAGATATACATGTTGTATATAAATGTTGTAATTGTCTGTTAATGGGGGGCTGCTCTTGCTCGTTACGTTGATAAACAGTATTAGCAGAAGATATTATTTTGAAACAACCCACGTTACAAGCATCCTTACATTTATATGAATTTTTTTCAGTTTTTAAAATGTTCGTTAAGGCGTGTTTTGAAATTGCGACCAGTTTCACCGATATAGGAAGCACTGAGCTTCCGCAAGTGAACCTGTATATTACGCCCTAACGAACATTACGGGCAGAGGATAACTGAAAACAAATACTGAATTTTAATAGTGTAAAAATTAACTTGATATCTAAATCAGTGAAAAGTTCTTTTCACTTAAGCGAAGCAATTTCAGAACTAAGGCCATATATAAACTTAAAATAGCGAATGTTAGGTTAGGGTCATTATTTGATTTATTTGGGCGATCATTTCTTTTTTGTTTTATTCTTTCCTTTTTTTTTCATGCTTCTTTACTTTCCAAAAGGGGGAGCCCCCCTAAATTCGCCCCTCGGAATTACAACACAAATGTGTTTTTTTTTTTTTCTAAATACAGACGTATGTGCATAGTTATATTTTCAAAATTGAGGACGTCAAAGTTGGGAAGCTTATCCTGCAATTTCTTTCCATGGTGAACTTAATATTTTTGTGACTCATGCAATATATTTATTCATCATACCTTTTAGTTTTAATGTTTTAATATTTTGTGTTTAACCAAAGTAATGTCATTTTTATTTAGTGTTTTCAGCAACTGGCAAAACACAACGATGATAATAAAGTATTCTTGATTCTTAATAATTTGTTTATTTTTTTAAAATTATTTTATAATCAATATTATTATTAATTAGATCTGGCGTTATCCCATTTTACAGAGTCGAAGTAGTACATCAGTGCAGGCAGACTGTCATGGACCTTCCTAATATTTTAAATAAATATTGCCAACAAGTTCAGTGGAGGTGATATGGGGGTCGGGGGAAAATAAACTTGTGGATTCTTTGATTAGAGCTTCGTGTCTCTAACCTTAAAATGACGCAGCCATAGGTTCTTGATCAGAGCATGAACAGGTCCATGATCAGAACTTCGCGCAAGTAGCGAAGCTGGCGTAGGTCTGATTGTGTGGACCAGGATCCCCGCCTTAAACCCTGTGGAAGGAATATTTTTGTACACTGGCTTTGAAAAAAAAAGTTGGTCTATTTAAAACAGATCTGGATGAATAAAACTCCGTCAACCAAAAAAAAAAAACAACAAACAAATAAACAAAAAAAACAAAAGCGATACAAACTAAAATATGTTATAAAGAATGAATTAATTTATTTTTCTCATACATATTCATTGCAAAAAATGCAACAGAACAATATGCAAATTAACGTGGAGACAACGAAGCTAAAGTATTTAACAGATGAAAAAAAAAATGAGTTGATAGATTTTTATGATTACACCTAAACAATGACTGGGTATCTGTTTCATATTCTGTTTTATACCACTATTTAATGTCTTGTCTATTCAGTCAAAACGTAATTTGGAACTACAGTACTAATAATGCTATGTAATCTACCATATAGCTACATGGCTTTTCTATTTGAAGAGTTGGTCACAAGTCACAGCTCAATATTTAGCTGCAGCGTTGTAAGGCTAGATGTAAGAGCACCCTCCAGTGAGGTTGAATAAAGCATTTATGGATTATTATAGAGTACAGTATATCCTTGTAAACACATCATTATCTTTTGACCGTACAATCATAACAAGTAGGATATAATGTTGTCATTCGTGTTTGATTATAGTGGGACTTCTATCACACTTGTATTATATAAAGTCTTACGTTACTGTGACCATTGCAAAAAAAAGCCCCAATACACAATACTGTAATATGCTCCCCCTTTCTTTGCAAGGATTTTACCAGGTACTCATTCACATAATATTTGTTTGTTTAAAGTAATGAGATATTGAATAAATCAAATCGAAATATTAAAGGGTGGAGAATCATAAATGTACAGTATAGTGTCTCGCTCAAATGACGCCTGAGGGTGTGACCATCATCAGGTATGATCTCACAGTTGCAGCTATTCAGTTTGAAGGCAAAAACCTTACCACTGTGTTGCTTATGCTATTGTTGATCAGTGCTCGGGCTATAGGGGTGGGGCTAGGAGCTACAGGCCTCTCATGGGAAGGTTCTCCCCACCCTCTGAGGAAAAGTTAGTACAGATTCGTTGGGGGGGGGGGGAGATAAAAAAAATATTTTAAAACGTTTACTGGTATATCAAATGTTGGCTTATATAAATTAATCATTTGGACACAGATGAGATACAAAAAACAGCATCCTTAGGTCAAGATGCCCTTGATGAGCATCTAGCAGCTTATTTTTAAAAATTTTCTCATTGGGAAGAGGGAACCTCCCTCCCAAATCCTCCCCCATCTCGGGCATACGGCCCTCAGATGACACTACACACCAAAGTATAACAATTTCCCTGTCTGACGGGGTGTTGCTCTGCCGTCAGAGCAATGCTAGTGCTGCCACTGTTGTTTATGATCATAAAGTTGATTCATATTTAATGTAATTACCGTATACAGTACTGTATTATAAGGTACATCTCACATGATAACCTCATACGGAAATCTCACAAATGATAGATTTAGCATGACACATCTCATATGGTACATCACACAAAAAATTGACCTTGAATGGTAGATGTGGAAAAAATTAAGAATATTTTTTTTTAGCCCTAAAGTATAATTTCATCTGAAGTTGACATACCCTACATTTTCACCTCAGGCCCTCCTATTGGGGACTAAGGTGGGTGTGGCGCATTTGTCGGGAAGCAATGGACCATTTGTCAGGGTATTCCTGATACAATTGCTGAAGAATTTTCTATGACTATGCGACAGTAGACCCTCTTTTCTGATGCACAATTATAGGAAGTAATAGTAGTAAGTGTACTGGTTACAAAAATATGGCCGTTTTCAGGCTTCCTAATTCAAACTAAAAACAATACAAAATTGAAATGTTTTGCTCATAAATGAAATACAGTATTTTAAATGCAATATTGGTCTGACAAAGAGCTTTCCTTAAGAAATATTCAATTTACATAAATAATTATCAAACGCAAATTCACTTTAAATTATTTTTGAGCAAAAAATTTACAGTAATTATTGTCTCCTAGTCTACTGTTTTCGTCAATGAAAATATGTTAATATACAGTAATACAATATGACCTTTGATCAGCAATGTAACCCTGACAACAATTTTATTTAGTGTTAATTAATTTTCTAGGATTCCATGTCTGCATCATCAAACTGCCCTGTGTCCATTGCCTCCTCTGGAAAGGGAAAAAAAAAGATTATACTGTAATACAAATTTAAAAAACAATCATTTCTCTACTGCCAGCAATAAATGATTACTGGTAATTGAAAAAAATATATATATGGCGCAACCATGTATGAATCTACTGGTACCCAAGCATGTAACCATGGGTACCCCTGGAACCATGGGTACCCAGGTCTTATGGAACCATGGGTACCCGAGTCATATGGAAGCATAGGTACCCTACTCATATGGAACCATGGGTACCTCAGTCTTATGGAAACGGAACCATTGGTACTTCAGTCTTATGGAACAATGTGTACCCCCAGTGTTATGGAACTATGAGTACCCCAGTGTTAAGGAACCATGGGTACATCAGTCTTATTGAACAATACCCGAGTCATATGGAATACCCGAGTCTTATGTAATCATGGGTACCCAGTCTTATAGAACCAATGGATACCGAAGTCATATGTCACTATTATTACTGTTACTCCTGCGATATCAAAGTACTGGTCTTGGTATACAATGTATTTTAAACTACTGGTGGTACCCTAAATATTTCTAGCACACATTACTAGAGTATTGTTACTCATGATATACAGGTACCCCAGTGTTACTGAATTACTGTGAGAATGTACCTTGAAATAATGGAGCCATAGATACATTTGCCAAGAAACCAACTGTTACCATAGGCATACAGAACCATCATGTAAACAAGGATCAAATTATGCAAACATGGGAAAATGGGTTATTTTTTGCTCTGAATTGGATGGAACCCAAGGATGCAGGTATCATTATTAACAACCAGAAGGGCTGCATGCCCTGGATCCAATCTACATCCCCATCTCCAGTCATTTGCGCTTGAGCCAAGCATTCATTGTGCCTGACAGTTGACAACGCAACACCAAAACGCATGCGCAATGGATTGTCTTTATTGACGATCTGTTTAGATTTCCACCGACAATCAGCAGACAGCGTAGCATCTGCTAGCACTCATCACAGGGAGTGGGGGCAGAGATGGATTTGTTGTACAACACAGTATGTGCTTGGCTGTATGTATGTATTTACTCTCTGGCTTACCAACATGTCCATTTGCTTGTGCATCACCTCCTCCTGACGGTGGTTGGAATTGTAACCTTGACAACACCGCTTGCCCTTCAGCATTTAGCTCCACTTCATCTGCATCCTCATAAAAACCAGGGTCAGCTGTATGAAAAAAAATGACACTCAATTGAGTTTCAGTAACCTACAGTAAGAAGAGCAATGATAAATATATACAGTATAATTTATTTTATTAATTCAAAACCATAAAATGGGATAAAAAAAAAAACCCATTCAAACAGTCAATTAAAAACAGTGAATGAATTTCCTCCTTGGATGATAAAGTACTGTGAATCTTGAATCTTAAACAGGTGTTAAATACAGAGTTTTCAATTGAAAAACTTGTTCTAAAGGTTCACAGACATGTGAAAATGACCATACAGTACATTTTGGTATCTTGCTTTCTCCAGTGATTACTAAGCACTGCAGCTCAATCACAGAATAATCGTTCAATCAGTCCAACCTCCGATTTAAGATAACATTTGGGATCTAAAAATGTGGCGTGGACTTGTAGATTGTTTCCAAATAGAGGGATGTGTACATAATTATCGTTAGTTGCTACTTGGGAAAGTGGTTCCGAAAAGTGAAGAGTTTTCAGAATTAGAGGGGTCTTGAATTGGAAAGCAAACCTGTAACTACTGTAATTATAAATTGAAAGATTCATGTAAATGTTTTTTGGGGATAATTTTTGGCCAAAAATGTACTCACCATCATCAGAATCGGCATCTTCTTCATCTGGATGTAAGGCTTGGCAGTCGGCCATTGCATGAAAAATTGTCATTACTTAAAAAAATATTTAATAAGACATTTAATTACTAGTTAAATCATCATTTAATGCAGTGTATATTATTTGAAAAAAAAAAACAATGAAAAATTAGTTTTTTTAAATCTTCATTATTTCATCAATTACTGTATATACAAGTTTGCATTAAAAAAAAAAGAAAAAAAAAATTACATATCAAACAATAATTATTATTATTATTATTATTTCTGCAAAATAGCACCAGGATTTTATACCTACTTACTTATATCATAAAATGACGAAAGAGCTAATTAAAAAATTTGTGGTTTTTATAAAAAGATTACAGTACAGTATGACTCAAGTTGGCTAGAATTAATAGTGAGGCATAAATTTTACAGAAAAAAAAGGCGTGTGATACAGTGATAAACAAAATTCGTTTAAAATAAAAATAAAATAAATTAGCCGAAACTGTCAACACAGCAAAACAGAAAGTAAAACTGGTCTAAAGCAAGGAATTATTCATTGAAAATAAATTAGTGTTGTAACTCCTCTCTTTACTGACCTTTCCCACCAAATTGGTTATAAAGGATGTTAAATCATATACCAAATGTTGCACATACTGTGATATGTGCATTACACCCGCCCTCCAAAAAAAAAAAAAAAAAAAAAAAAAAAAAAAAGATGCAGTGTCTCAAAATATTTTCCTAAAAACGAGTGTACACCTACATGATTCTTTGTCTCTTGGAACAAATCGTATTTCTGAAATTTCTGAGTCATCATTGGTATTTTCCTCATCATCTTCGTCCTCCAAACCGTCATCTGGTTCCTGATTTGGCGAGTTAATCATTAAGTATACACACTCGTGGGGGAATGTTGACACATCTCGCGATATAGCATGCAGGGAAATATCAGGGTACTCAAGCTGGAAACCAACACCACCCTCATTCCTCCATAACACACAACTGTATGCAAAAGAAAAAGAATTTTCAATTCAGAAGAAAATTTCTAATTAGTTAACCACTGTTGTTGTGACAACACTGCAGATTTTCTTAGCCCCAACCATTCTTCTTGAAATGGGAAAATATTTGGACTGTAAGGAACCATAATTTTACCAATTGCTTTTATATATTCTCCCTGTAATGTACTCTAGTGCATGTGAGCCCTCCAGCGTTGCGTTAAGTGAGAACAGTGGGCTGACTATCATACAACATATATCTTCGCTCTCGTACTGTATTTTAGTCTAATTTGTAAGTTTTTCAATCATTATTCCATTTGCCTGTTCATAAGTTAATACAGATGTGTAGGATATACTAATTCTTAGACTAATGGATATAATCATAGTTTATTAATACTAAGGTACCTTGTTGATTCGTAATCTTTGTTTTGTTCATCATTAAGATAGGCTTATCCTATAGATATGGTACCGCTGCCGTGCAGTGATCTATAGATTGCTTGGCTTTGTTACGAGTTTTTTATATGTTTAATTTTAACATAGGGTAATTGTGAATATTACGATGTTATTGACCTTAATTTTAGGCTTGATATTGTATGATACAAGATTTAAGATCAGTTATTAACTAGGATCAGTTGATTACGGTATTGGATATACCTAGGCCAAAATTCAAACATGACTTGAACTGTTCTATTGTACGCACGTGATATACTGTAGTTGCTATGCAGCCTCTACTAAAGGCAATAATTATTGTAATAAACAACTCTGATTGAAGGCAAAATTGATGGGTGTATATGTAATTTAATGTAGTAGTACAGTATTACTGAATTTCTATTCTTAATTATTACAGTTTACATGTAATTGTTACGGTTTACAGTAAGTCGACTACAGGAGGCCGGATACTGATTGATAGGCCCTACATGGTTAAGTTGCGTCAGGATCAAGTACGTACAGTATGTTAATGCTTTATGAATATGGTTGCATTTTATAGCCCAAGTTTAAAAGGCAGATACTGTATTAAAATGATGTGCTGTATTAGCGTAGGCATATTATATCATTATATACAGTAGTATGACATTGTTAACATTTAAAGAAAGTATTCAGAGTACTTATATTAATTGATTTATTGTTTCATAATGTTTAGTCACCAGATATTACCGGATTATACAGAATTATACCAGAGAGGTATCAGATTGTATATTAAAGAATAAACTCATAAGTGGTGGTATCTGCTTCGATTATTCTGCGTCACACCCAACGGAGCAGTCCGTTACACTCCCCCATCACCCAGATATTCAGTATTATTACAGTGTATGTTCATGGAGGTATAACATTTTATACCTCCACGATATGTTGATACCTAGGCCCTAGGCTAGTCTAGGCCTAGGACTGTAGTAGGCCTACTGTATGCAATTTTCATTGACTTGTAAACCTGGAGAGCATGAGATGTGTATAAGAGACAGCCGGGAGAGTAAAATGCATAGGCCAGTAACTTTTCTTAAATGTTTTTTCTTAAATTGTTTAACTTCTTGATTTATTGATTGATTGTTTAAATGCATAGAAATGAAGTGGCCGATGAATTAAAGGATGAACTTGAAATTCTTGAGAGACGACTACGAGACAAAGAGAAGCAAAACACAGGTGCACAGTCAGTGATCAGCTCCCAACGCCAGCAGGTTTGCATGTCAACATGTACTACTGAAAAATTTCCTAATCCCAGATGGAAATTCCCAACCCTAATGAATAACTATCAATCCCAGGTGTATGAAGAAGATTGTAGAACCAGGAAATACTCCCTGATAGAACTAGCTCTGTTATAAAAATATAAATATCAATGTATTTAATAAACCTTAAGACCAAAAATTCCTAAAAACATTTTAAACTGATAATTAATTTTAGTGATGATTATTTTAATGATCTCTCACACTCATTCATTGGATAAACTTCACATTTAGAAAAAAAAAATCAACCATACAATTCTCCCTCCAACTAAAGACCACTAACTTTTGACTAAAAGACATTTTTGGTCTTTAAGTCAAGATGGGTCTTTAATTAGAAAGAGACCTGTATTTTTTCCAACAGGAAGAAGCAATCAAGTTTCGGTCACAGCCTGTACAGACGTGCCACTCAATGGAGTACCTGTCTCTTATACACATCTAGATGTGTATAAGAGACAGGTTATTACATTTTTAATACGATTTTGCATGAATAATAAATAATAAATTTAAATGTGTTAGGCCTATGTTATTATACAGTATTTACTATGGTTTTGTAATTTATATACTTTTTATTTTTGTACTATTTGTTAATCTTATATATAATACACGAACGGCAATACGAGCAAATCAACGACTGACAAGACTGTGGGATGTATATGTAGCTGGTATCCGGGGGGTTCATTCACTGATGACATAGGCAAGCCGTCTACATTCACTGAGAGACGCACTACGTTCACTGAAAGACGCGTTTGGCGTTCCATAGAAATTACCGGCGGCTCAACTTGTCGGCGACTCAACCGGTCATATTCCCATAAGTGGTGGTATCTGCTTCGATTATTCTGCGTCACACCCAATGGAGCAGTCCGTTACACTCCCCCATCACCCAGATATTATTACAGTGTATGTTCATGGAGGTATAACATTTTATACCTCCACGATATGTTGATACCTAGGCCCTAGGCTAGTCTAGGCCTAGGAAGGCTGCTAGGCCTATATACTGTAGGCCTACTGTATGCAATTTTCATTGACTTGTTTTGTAAACCTGGAGAGCGTGTGAAAAATCGTGAGAAAAAAAAATCGGTCGGGACTCTCCCGGCCAAAACGGAAGTCTTGGCATGTATGTAGTAGGGCCTGTGTAGGCCTACTTCTCTACTCTTGGATAGCTACTCCAGGGAGGGACTAGGCCTAGGCTACGCAAAGAGGTACATATACCTCCTTTAGTTTTAGCTAGCCTTGGCTAGGCCTCACTCATCCTAAGCCAAACAAAACATGGGACACACAAAACAATGAATGATCGTTCAGTATTTACCTCTCTGTAACATATAAGGTTCCAGGTCCTTTGTTTAAATCTTTCAAATAAACGTCTGTCTCTTGCTGAGTATGTACAATGCCACCTTGTGGCACTGAAATTGATCTTAAAGTTGACATTTTACGTTTCAAAGAAACATACTCAAATCGCCGCCTTCTCAGCAGCCAGCATGCAACGGAATCGGTACGACGTTACGCATGACTGAATTCAATATTATGAATAGTGCCACCAATGTTTCATGATTCTGTCAGTTTATTTATTTATTTATTGTAGGGTTGAGCATATATTGCCATAGTTATAGAAGCTGACTATTGTACCAGCTTTGGGTAAAAAGTTGGGCAATTTATTGCCCAACGTTTTTTTTTTTACAGTGTGGTTGGCATGATTTGAGCTGCAGAGTGGATTCTTATGTTATTTTCAAAATGGTAAAATTTCTGCGGGACAGATGAGAGCTCCCTGGGGAGTATCTTTCCAACTTTCCTCTCCTTACATATTTGTCTAGTCCTAATTCTCTTTTTCTTTTCCCGACAATCTGCACATTTAGCACCAGGCCCGTAGCGTGTAGGGGGTTAAAGGAGTTACGACAAAATTCTCAAAAACTGGAGAAGGTCCGCATTTAAAAACGAAAAATTGATATTAATGTCATCTTACTAGGCGCACGTATCCATCTCTTGGTAGAGCTGCTCGCGGCGCAGTTTTCCACAGATAACCTTTTTTCTGCATTGTTATATTGAATTAATTTATTTTATTTTAATTATTTATTTATTTATTTTTATGTATATTAATTTTATGACAGAACTGACATGGATGGGAAGATAGGCAAAATAAAGATGCAAATACTCTTCGGGGTCACCATCCATCACCACCCTGGCGCAATTCCCTGACCTCTGCCACAGACGATCGGGTGCTCAGGAGTTGTAATCGAGACAATGGCCCCAAAAAACTAAACCCTACAATGATATACTACTAATCTCTCGGCATATGCCTAAGAAGCTTACAACTTCCACTACCACTACTAATTTCATCTTGTGTTGTGTAAATATTTAGGCTACTCACAGCATTATTGTATTGAGCCATGCTCTCTGGACGATAATCTTTTCTGCACCAGAACCATTCGTTTTTCTTGGGTTTCTAGATGTCATATTATTACAGTACATAACCTGTTTTTTTTTTCTATTTTTTTTATTCAAGTTCCAATAAGAACTCTTCAATTTTCTCAATTTCATAAGCGCCCCGTTTGAATAAGCGCACTTCAAAAAGCGCCCCTAAAAAACAATTATTTAAGATAGGCTTGATATATTTCTCATTTTATTCCGATGAAATAATGATATAGGTACTTGGCAATAGTTTTATGATGATTTTGAGACTCCAGTCCACCAGTTGAATAAGCGCACTTCAAAAAGCGCCCCTAAAAAACAATTATTTAAGATAGGCTTGATATATTTCTCATTTTATTCCGATGAAATAATGATATAGGTACTTGGCAATAGTTTTATGATGATTTTGAAATACCTTCAATAAATTAATTGAGAAATAATTGGAGGTCTTCGTTTTTTAGGTCTTTGTTTTGTAGACACCCATAGGGTGTCTATTAAACTAAGACCCTTGAAAATTTCACAAACAGACGTCCAAAAAAATTCGTAATTTTGATTTTATGACAGCCTGGTGTATTATCATTAAAATAAAAGATAAAAAATAGGGGTCGTCGTTTTTGGGTCTTCGGTCTTCGTTTTAGACACCCGCCAGAAATATGGGTAGGCCTATAGTAAATTTCATCAAAGGTCTTCATGAACATTGTGTCTTGTATTGTGTTCCATTAAGTTCATTTTCCTAAAGTCCGGAGCCCATTTGGATCTTTTCCGATAAAAAACTGGAATTTGCCCCAAACTAGCGTTTACTTCATGATACTCTTCTCCTTGGTACTCTTTGCCATTCCACAGAAAAACCCATTCATCATCAGGAAGAAATACTGTCCATTTATCTTTTTGAGATTCAAAGACAGGTGCCACCAGGAGGTCTGGTCCGTAGAGGTACTGATATTTAATGGCGTAACATATCGAACAGTTCTCATAATGCATAAATAATGGTCGTTGTGTTGGTATGCCAAACTCGCTATTTTCTTTCACAACTGTTTTAGTGTAGTTGGATAACGTTACAAAAATGTTCACGAGGCGCGCAACTGCTTGAAGCGTGTCATTACTGGAGTAAACCTGCCAATTTTCTGAAGGACGGTTCCCTTCGTGCGTGCGCATGACTGGGGTAAAAGTAGCAAGCTCGGCGTATCGGAGAAGTAGTTCTTCAGTTCGCCTGATGCCAAATAAAGAGGTGTAGCCACCGATATCAAAATGATGTAGCCCGTGACCAGACATACCCAATGACAATGCGGCTGGAATAACTGAAGCTAATCCATCATCGAGACTCCAGTCCACCAGTTGATCACCAGCCCATGTGAGTGTGTTGTAGCGTTGAGACCCTGTATAACCTGCCCTCATCCAATACACAATCTCACCGAGTTTACCAGCTTCCTTAACTGCATCGTAATTAATCTGAGCCCAAAGTGCAGGCCAAGCATTATGCATAACCTCTCCACTTCGACCGTTGTAGAAGACAGCATCAGTTGGCATATACTCTCCAAAATCCGCCATCCATCCAGATAATCCCAATTCAATCATATTCTTCTTGATGACTTCGTCTTTGTACCAGGTGTAAGCATCTGGATTAGTGAGATCAATAGATCCACAGTAAAATTCACCAAAATCAGTTATGTATGTCTGTCCTGTAGAGTTCTTGACAAAGTAACCAAGTTTTTCTCCTTCCTTAAACAAGTCACCTTCAATATTCAAATTTGGATTGATGTAGCCAAGAACAGATACTCCCTTTGCTTTTAACTTTTCAATTTCATTATCGAGGTTCGGATATTGATTCTGATCCCACTCCCAATTCCAAAATAGGCGCCGACCAAAGCTGGTTGTGATGCGACCGACCCAATCTTGGATCCATAAACCACTGACGCGCACCCCTTGATCCTAAAACAAAATTAATAATTAATTGAGAAATAATTGGAGGTCTTCGTTTTTTAGGTCTTTGTTTTGTAGACACCCATAGGGTGTCTATTAAACTAAGACCCTTGAAAATTTCACAAACAGACGTCCAAAAAATTTCGTAATTTTGATTTTATGACAGCCTGGTGTATTATCATTAAAATAAAAGATAAAAAATAGGGGTCGTCGTTTTTGAGTCTTCGGTCTTCGTTTTAGACACCCGCCAGAAATATGGGTAGGCCTATAGTAAATTTCATCAAAGGTCTTCATGAACATTGTGTCTTGTATTGTGTTCCATTAAGTTCATTTTCCTAAAGTCCCGAGCCCATTTGGATCTTTTCCGATAAAAAACTGGAATTTGCCCCAAACAAGCGTTTACTTCATGATACTCTTCTCCTTGGTACTCTTTGCCATTCCACAGAAAAACCCATTCATCATCAGGAAGAAATACTGTCCATTTATCTTTTTGAGATTCAAAGACAGGTGCCACCAGAAGGTCTGGTCCGTAGAGGTACTGATATTTAATGGCGTAACATATCGAACAGTTCTCATAATGCATAAATAATGGTCGTTGTGTTGGTATGCCAAACTCGCTATTTTCTTTCACAACTGTTTTAGTGTAGTTGGATAACGTTACAAAAATGTTCACAAGGCGCGCAACTGCTTGAAGCGTGTCATTACTCGAGTAAACCTGCCAATTTTCTGAAGGACGGTTCCCTTTCGTGCGTGCGCATGACTGGGGTAAAAGCAGCAAGCTCGGCGTATCGGAGAAGTAGTTCTTCAGTTCGCGTGATGCCAAATAAAGATGTGTAGCCACCGATATCAAAATGATGTAGCCCGTGACCAGACATGCCCAGTGACAATGCGGCTGGAATAACTGAAGCTAATCCATCATCGAGACTCCAGTCCACCAATTGATCACCAGCCCATGTGAGTGTGTTGTAGCGTTGAGACCCTGTATAACCTGCCCTCATCCAATACACAATCTCACCGAGTTTACCAGCTTCCTTAACTGCATCGTAATTAATCTGAGCCCAAAGTGCAGGCCAAGCATTATGCATAACCTCTCCACTTCGACCGTTGTAGAAGACAGCATCAGTTGGCATATACTCTCCAAAATCCGCCATCCATCCAGATAATCCCAATTCAATCATATTCTTCTTGATGACTTCGTCTTTGTACCAGGTGTAAGCATCTGGATTAGTGAGATCAATAGATCCACAGTAAAATTCACCAAAATCAGTTATGTATGTCTGTCCTGTAGAGTTCTTGACAAAGTAACCAAGTTTTTCTCCTTCCTTAAACAAGTCACCTTCAATATTCAAATTTGGATTGATGTAGCCAAGAACAGATACTCCCTTTGCTTTTAACTTTTCAATTTCATTATCGAGGTTCGGATATTGATTCTGATCCCACTCCCAATTCCAAAAAAGGCGCCGACCAAAGCTGGTTGTGATGCGACCGACCCAATCTTGGATCCATAAACCACTGACGCGCACCCCTTGATCCTAAAACAAAATTAATAATATTAAAGGTTAGTTGTAAATACAGATACAGTTTAATACTACATACACAACCTCCCATAAGCGATACTTCAATAAGCAAATAGCATATGCGTAAACGTAGGCCTGATATAGGAAATTGTGATATTGTGATGCAATAGCACTAATTTTTCTATAATTTGAGCCTCTACCGTATGAACACTTAAAACGGGCACACATTGCATAGGGTGACGGTCGACCTACGCGATTCTAGAGAAGACCGCAAAATGAAGAACTGCGTAGATTGGAACCGAAAATCAACAGACGGCGTCGCGTGACGCATCCTGCGTGAAGCCGGTTTTCCACTAGGCGAATTTATTAGCGCAGATCGAAAGCGTTGGCTCATGCGCATGCGCGTTCACATTCCTATCGGAGTTTTTTTGCGAAGCGAAAAAATGCGCAACCAATCACAACTCAGGAAGCGAACCGACGCGCGAATAAATTTGCCTAGTGGAAAACCGGCTTTTTAGCACTCGCACTGCACAGTTTACGAATTGTCGGCCGCGTGTTTCCGTTTTAAGGTGTACAACATCTCTAGTTTTTTGATAAAAAAAAAATATAAAAAACAAAACCAATAGGAATATCTCAAAATACAATAATGAAACTAGACCTAATGATTAGTTGGGTTACCTCTGCCATCTTGAGGTATTCCAGCATGGATGTTGTTCCACCTTGTACCCCAAGAATAATCCCTGAATGTATCCAGTCTGGTAACACCGGTTGTCTTCCGAATATGTTCGTCAACATAGACACCAACTCAATGAACGAATTTGCTGTTCGGATAGCCACGTGACCAGGACTCGTACTACAAATCAATACTTCGTGAAAATCCTTATTTCTGAAGTCCAAACCGACATAACTTGAAACTGAAGAGTGTAGAAAGTACTTCTTCGATGACACAAATGTAGGCTGTGCCCAGTACGTGGTATGATAATCTCCGCCTCCGCCGTCAGAATTATCAGCTTCAAATGTTGGGTATGTTGACTTATTACGACCCACACCCTGGCATTAAAAGACAAAACCAGAAGCACATTATTCAAACACACTAATTCAATAATCAAATTTATTATTTCCAATGACATACATTGCGATGTAGGCATATTCTATAAAAAGTGTAATTCCACAATTTCAACACCGGAGTTAAGTACCTCTAAATTTAATAAATTTCTAAACTGAATAATTTTGCCAGGACTATTGAACCTGAAATCTACAAATGCTATCCAGAATCTGTCAGACCTTACTATATTTCTATTCTCAGACTTTCTCTTTTTTTTCAAGGACCACAGGAATTTGGAATTCCACACCAATTCACTTCCGATGGTCTAATCTTTTCTCTGTTTTGAAAGAAACTTAAAACTCACCTTTTCCCATTCTTTATTATGTACGATTGTGTTGTTTTTCATATTTTACTTTTATATTTTTTTTAAAGCTTATTGGAATGTGAATAGAAGTTTGAGAATCAAGCGTGACGAAAACAATCTGTACCAATAACTTACCTGTTCTCGTGTCCATATCGGGAAAGATTGTCCTCTCATATTGAAATATGAAAACTGCTCACCTGCCCCATACACGTATTCGTCGGGATCCGACTTTATTCTGAACCACAGACGGTCCATAACTGACGGCAACTGGTCAAATGTTATATTCAGCAGACCATCTTCGTTGGTTATTGTCACTCGTAACTAAAAAAAAAAAACAAAAACAAAAAAACATTGTGCTTAATAAGAATAATACTTTAAATGCAAGTGTTTTGTTATTTTCAAACTAGTTCAATAAGAATTAAAATCCCAATCAGTATCTCAATTATATTTTTTCGTTCAAATTAATGATTGGTGTTGATCTAATCGCATGTATTTGACATAAAAAATTATTGTGCCACCTTAGCCAATGAGGCTCGGGCACAAATACATCAATAAGGGACCGAAACTAGCACAACAACTTGTATTGCCTTATACCAGGACAAAATAGAAAAGTTTTAATGGCTGATTGAGGGCAGAATTGTCTAGAGGAGCCATGATCACCAACATAAATGAAATGGGAGATGGAATTGTGGTCTATCTTTCATTTTCGTTATGAACTTCTGCTTGAAATGCATCTGCAATCTTTACACTCTCCATCACTTCACATTTTTTTCACATTCCCCCATCCCCCAAGCAGCTGAAACAATTGCATGCCCAGTTTCTTATGACGTGACATTTATTGGTAGATGGCTTGATGGCGTGCAGCGTTCTCGTCTCCTTAATTATTTTCACTTCCAACCCATCATGCCTTCCCTCCCTGACAATTTCTACTTGAAGTGATGGTATCTATCATCATCTGGTATCTTCTTCAGGCTGTATGTTGCATATATTGTCAGGTCTTTCGCATTATTGATTACAGCTTCACGAGACTTCACAGCCATAGATGCTTTCTTTTTTTAATTACCTCCTTGGGAAGAGCTGCTTCCTCACCCCCCACGCTCCACTCCCCGTCTGGGAGAAAAAGCACAATTCGTCGGGGAGAAAAAAAATTATATGTATTTTCTACATATTAGTAGACTCTAAAATCGATTAAATAAGCCTTTGAAACACCTAAATTGTTAAAAATTTTCGAGGGCTCCGCCCTCTGGACCACTTTCGGAACCTTTCAATCGAAGCTCGACCACGCCCACATTGCTTTCGTCGGGGAAATATGAGCCCTCGTCGGGGGCATCGCCCGCCCCCCCTCGGGGACCTGGTACCCCCTCCCCCGTCGGGCAAATTCTGGCGCCTCCCCTGCCGCCTATTCGCTGTCACTTTGCCCGTTGTCATGTCTTGACCCCCCCAAAAAAAAAAAAAAGATGCTCAATTTCCAGGCCAGGGAATTTCTCGGCAGTCTACGATGCCAACAATCGCATCTTGCATTATGTGCTGGACAGCTGCCCCATAAAATCTGTAGACTTTCTTTACATTAATATTGTTCTGAAATACTAATAACTTACCTCAATGAACAATGGTAAGCACTGCATAATGCATTATAATACCTACAAATAACATTATGTGTATTATTATTATTAATGTATTAAAATGCTAAGAAAATGTTTTTAATTTAATATTGTATTGTATATATTAGTTCTACTCGTATTGCGACAGAATTATTATAGCACCTACCGAAAGCGTGTCTTTTTTGAAAGTGATGTCTATCTCGTCCGGCTCTTCGTACTCAAGCGAGACGTCATTAAGCCCGATACGTTCTTCGACATAATCAGAAATTTCAAAATTGCCATGGTGCGACTTGAATGCTAACTTTCCAGATCCAAGGTACACAAAGGGAGACTCGTCAGAATGCTTGATTACGTGAATTCCGTTGAAATAAACATCCAGATCATTGGGCTCGTTCAGGGTGTAGTTTAAAGTTCCAGCTACTGAAGTTCCCGTCAATATTGCGTAAACCAGTAGCCACATCATATTGTTTAAAAGAAAAGAATATAGCTTCATTTTCCTTTTCAACGGTTCAACGGAGCATCAGGTGTCTACGAGTCGGTGCTTATACATAATGTATATCATACAGACCTTTTGTACTATTTACATGCGCCATGAACTTTGACGTACAATATTTACTTTTAGAAACCTATTATAGTGACACACTATAAAATAATAAAATCAAATGTATAAGTGCTTGCGAGGTTCTTTTTTTTTATGAATGATATTTAGCAATGATAATCATTCCAGCTGATGATTGTGATCTGCACTACCGTAAAACCTAGAATTGAGGCCCTGGGCTTCTTGTTTTTTGCAAACTTTGGATGGGTTTCTTTTCGAGATGGGACTTTTCGAGATGGGCCTTGGGGTTATCCATTCATGGAAAAAGGAATACGTAAGCAATTCAATTTTTGTAAATGTACGTTATACACACATAAATAGGCCTATTTACTGTAATAATAATGAGAAAGTTTACCTGACCGTTTTCAAGAGGGGGAAAATCTTGAATTTTGAAGAAATTAAAAGTCATTAAAAGACAACTCAGAAGTGTGGAAAGCTCATTTCCTGCCATATAAAAATAAAAATTTTCACGGGGGAGGACCCCCGGACCCCCTCCCCACTTTATTTGGGCGTTTTTATGAAAAAAAAGTCTGACTGCCACCCCCCCCCCCCCCCTTCGCTAAATGTGAACCTAGATCCGCCCCTGCCTTGCTTTTTTGAAAAGAAGCCCATGGGCTTCTTTTCGAGATGGGCTTCTTTTGGAGGCTAATTTTGCTAACTAAAGAGGGGGATTCAATTCGAGATGGGCTTCATCTCGAGATTAAGCCCACTTGGCTTCAATTCGAGGTTTTAAGGTATATGACTCGCGCTACTAACCTATGTTATTTATTACGTTGTTGCCCAGTGCGCTCTTCAATTTGAGACCCCTCTAAAATCAACACCACGTTTTCGAAGTACTGTAGTAACAATATTTATATTTTCACACAATGCCATCCCTCTATTTACAGGCCAAACCCCGAAACTACCTTAAATTTCCAGGTTCCAAGGTCTCGCAGTTGAGGGTCAAATGTATCTGGAATAGACGCTCAGGTGCCATTGGTTATAATGATCAGACGCATTTATTTATTTCTTTATTCACACAAATGTGCAAAAGATTGTCAATAGCGAATATTCTATTTATAGGTGGTAATCACTTCCACAAAACGAACATACTGTACACACATAATGCTTTACAATTAAGTCCCATTATGAGGCTTAGAGAATGGAGTTATTTTTGGTCTTGAGAAAAAAATCCTTACAGGGATTGAACCCAAGACCCTGGAATTGGAAGCCAAGCTTCTTAACCAGCAACTATTCCACTCCACTCATCGACTAAGCTATGGCGTAAGGTTATCGTGTTTGTGTTTTGCTATCTGAACTTTGCCATTACGCCATATTTTATTAGTAGATAACAAAAACGATTAAGTGTAAACAAGATCCTCTCTGAATATTATCAAAGCACACAACCCAAAGTTCTCTTTTGAAATTTAAATTTGCATTGATCTTGAATCTAGGACCATTCTGACTAGGTCATAGTGGGCCTTACTAAGGATAGAGGCCTATTCATGTTAAGATTAATTAATCATTAGGCTTTAAAAAAATGTTTGCCGTCGTCCGCCGCCCCTTAAATCCGAAAAATGAAGGGCGGTGTTTTTTCTTAAAAGTTTTATAACATATAGTTTTATATATTGTGTTAAATTATTTCTGTTTTTCTAGGGATAGATTAACAACCTTGTGAGCTACAGTGATTTTAGTTGCTTTTGTTAATCTCTGCCTCCTTAGATTTGCATATATTTTTTCTGTATTTTGAGGTTTTGGTATTTTTTTCCTTTGAAATTACCGGTACTGTGTGTACCAATTGTGGTTTTTATGAAAGGCAAAATAAAGAATGAATGAATGATGATATTACTATACACATAAAAATAATACACTACATAAGATAATGTTTTGTATATACACAGTCCTTTATTGAATATTTATTGATAATAATAACAAACAAAAAATAATAATAAAAATAATAACAATAACAATAATAACAATAATAATAATAGTAATAGTAATGTATTGATATTAATAATAATAATAATAGTAATAATAATAATAATAATAATAATAATAATAATAATAATAATGATACTAGATGGATTTATATAGCGTAAATAAACAAGGTCTCTATGCGCTCAACAATACTGTAGGAATAAACACAACGACAATAGGCAAAATAAAAAGCAAGAAAAAAATAATATGTCCCCACCACACATATTTAAGAGGTTAGTACCCCCATATTTTGTCAAGAAAATGCATGAAAATTGTTCAAATGAAATCTGTAACTGACCCAGTAAAGAGCGTTCTGCAGCAGTCTTATGCCGTTATAATCATTAACTTACAACTCTTGTACAATTTTGCAAATATGATGTTAATGCCATGAACAAGTTCTATTAAAAGTTTCTGATAAAAGATCATGATGAACAGAACAGAAAGCGTCTTTATTTAGCCAATAACAGTAATGCTTCAATACTATTACCCTTGAAATTTACGACATAATTATTTATTAATCAGGCCCGTGGCAGGATTTTTGATGAGGAAGTGCGTTTTGCGACCGAAGCGGGCCTTATGTTAGGAGAGCATAGTGGGGCGAAACCCCCGGAAGCTTACTAATTATGGATTTCTATTCTATTTAAATTCTATTCATTTGGGTGTTGTTAGGGACCAAAAGTTGTAATTTTTATGTCCTTAACATCTGTAGGCCTACAAATAACATTTAATTGTTCAAAATGGATCCATCTGCAAGCACTGAAGTTGATAATGTCCAAAAATCAACGGTAGAAGAGCTAAAATACAACACATACTATAGCATTTCGTGATAATTATGAACTATTTTAGTAAAATGGTTTTAAAAAGTGGGTTTTTTGAAATGTGGGGATCCAGGACAGGGACCTGAAGCGGTTTGCGGGAATATTCCCTCGAAAGTTCCGACAAATTAGCATTTTGAGGGACCTGATGGATTAACTTGTAATCATTGGAGTGATCATTCCAACAAATTTCATACCACAGTTATTACAACGTTTAGAAAAGCTGGCATAAAATGCAATGCACACTATAGCATTTTCGCAATAATTAATAAAAAAATTAAATAATTATTTAAAAAAGTTGACCTTTTGGAAATTGGGGTGGGGTTCAGCCACACCCTCTGCACAACCACCCCCCCCCCCATGCCCAGGGGCCTGATTAACTAATACAATAAATAAACAACAGTGTTAATACAAATAATTACAGGTAATAAAATAAAAAAAGAGATGAAAAATGTCGCATGGCTCGCTTGATTCGCTGGCTCGCATGGCTCGCATGAAATTTTCCTAAAGTCCGAAGCCCATTTGGATCTTTTCCGATAAAAAACTGGAATTTGCCCCAAACTAGCGTTTACTTCATGATACTCTTCTCCTTGGTACTCTTTGCCATTCCACAGAAAAACCCAATTATCATCAGGAAGAAATAC